AACATACACTGAATGTTCACGTCATGGAAACAGAAATTTACCATTTCCCCGCAAGCAACTTTTAGCGTGGTACACGTTTCTCTAAAGTTTAGCGTAAATAATATTATGACGCTATATTTCAATGCAAAAATAACTTTTCTTATTTGATGAGATTTTTGCAAGTATAAAATAGAAGGAAATAGTCATTAAAGTAAGGATTAAATGAACTTTTGAAAGTGCGTGAAAATGCATGATTGCGGGGAAACGGTATATGCGTGATTTTGCGTTAGAAATAGGAAATGGTATATGCGTTAAAATGCGTGACTACGGGGAAGGGGGTTAAAATATACATGCAATCTTTATTTGAAGAATTCAGACACTTGTAAGCACTGAGTGTCTTTCCAGAATACTATCTCAAAACCAAACGTTTAGGCCCAAAACTCCTATTTCTAATATTTAATGTTAAACCCTTAAAAAAAGTAACATTTACTGAAGTGAAAACCCGCTTTCCCCTAACCTAAGTTTGTTTTTGCAAAATAAACATCATTAATCTTTATCTACTTTAAATTACATTATGCAAAGCACCGCTGCAATGTGAAAAATATTCTATTTATGTACTATAAATGTGTTTTCTTACGAATGTTGCAAATCAATAAAAAATAGAAAGACAGATACGTCTGATCAATTTTCAGCATGAGTAAATGTTGGTTAATATCCTTAAGATAATGACCAGCAAAGGGACTCAACCAGTATTTCTCTTAAGAAAAAATTACAATTTCTACACATATCCTCTATCTAGTCCTGAATGTTAAGCACTGGTTGTTTTATTTCAATGAAAAGGGTTCATTAACAATTATTCTAGCAAACCAGGTATTGGAAAAAAAGTCAAGTTCGACAAATATTAAACACACACCCTATAATGTGCATATGGTTCCTTTTCAAAGGTACAGTTGGAATTGGAACAAGATTCCACGACAGCACGATGCTATGAACTATAATATTGTAGGAACTAAAGAGACAATCTGGGTTGTATTATTTCTTAACGTTCAGATGGCTTTTCAGAAAACCAATTTATCAACGACATCATTGATAGCAGCTTTTTCAATAAAAATTGAACTCGTAAATTTAGCATCTGTCATTTCCAAAATTATTTTGTTTTGTTTGAAAAATGATTGTACATACAAGTGCAATAAAGCAGTACTTTATTATCTTATTAACAATCATTTTGTAGTTTTGGAGCTCACGTCTTCCAACGATCTCTCGCAATTCTAGTGGAAAGCAGAATTTATTTGATAATTTCCCCACAAAAAGAGGGATGTTCTTTTCACACCCTCAATTCAACATAAGGTATATCGACGATGTATTATCTATAAACAACCTACGTTGATTCGACATACCACTTTGAACACGAAATAAAAGATACCTCCGAGTCTGAAATCTCTGTTTCGTATTTGAATATTTTAGTATAAAAAGACGTTAATGTCACAAATAACAAACTTTACAATAAACTTGATGAATTCAACTTTTCCATCTTCCACTTCTCTCATTTATGTAACAATACACCATGATCCCCGGCATATGGAGTTCATGTCTTCCAGTTAATCGATCCATAAGATCATGTTGAATATACGAACAAAGAATGCTATTGTGTCAGAAGTTGATGAAACAAGAATTAGGACAATCTTGTTTAAAGTTATAAACAATTGCAAATCCTTTGATCGATATACATGTAATGACCTTGTCAACAAATACATTAAACAAGGTATCATTATTTTTTTTCAAGAGGTATAGCAATTTAACTACTACGGAAACACAGTTTTACACTCCCAGAATGACAGTAGCGCGAACAAAAATCACACGAAATTATCTAGCGACAAAGATAAAAAATAAAATGTAAATATCCTAATGATTGAAAAAATTTAATGAATTCAAAGAAGCTTCGTATTATCATTGATTAAAGATATTGGTTTATTCTTTCTTTTCAAGCAATAATAATAATGCGTTTTAAAAAGTGACTTAGTTCAACCCTTGCTATACATCATGAAAGTTGCACATCACGTAAGGATGAGTAAGTATAACAAAAGTGTGATAGGTTTTTCATCATTGATATTACAGCTTTTCTTCGAATAAGAAATGGACAAATATCGGCAATGGTATAGGTGGGTAAGGATATCATTTTCCAGAATGAGCGTTGTGACCGTCATAACCCAAGTTCTCTGTCTTGGATGCGTCGTTCATATCTGATATTTTTAAAGTCTAAGTTAAACAATATTTTAGGGATTTTATAATAATGTTAAGATATTCAACTATTCTTCTAGTTGTAAGTTAGCAATCGTTCATGTCAAATTACTTAACAAAGAACACATCTCTTGTGTTCGTCTTTAATGAAAATTGTAAACCCATAACTTTCACACTGATTTGTCTACAGACTTTTTATATGATCATGACAAGGTGCTCACGAAGGGTGATTGATTGACATGGGATATGCGCTTACTATTCCATGTCATCCGATTCCACCTCCTTTGGCTCTGGTTCATACTAGCTCTTTGCATATTGTTTAGAAATAAATGATTGATTGATCATGGTCATTGTACATTATCTTAACATTTAGTTAATAATAATCTTTCTAAAATAAAGAAAATCCTTAATATACTTTATAAAGAACAAACAAACAAAATCTCCAAACCAAAAAATGCGCTCTTGGTAGTCTCAGTGTGGCGTACGTGAATTTTACTAGCATAATTTCAAATCAATTTCCCAGCTTGTTTAAAACAAGATTTATTTGTTAATGAACTTTAATTTTCGTTTAAACTTATCGCCTCTAAATTCAGAAAAAATATTAAACGGGGAAATATTAAATGCCGCTTTTGATTTGAAACACCTCAAAACATTTCATATGAAATCTGTCGAATAGTTTCGAAGTGTTTGTGAGTACAAGACGTATATGAAACTTGAACAGAGGACCAATACAAAGCTGAACTATTGCTATCTTCCCTAGGATATTTGTTTTTTGAAAATACATCTAACAAATATCGAAAAAAGACGTGACCAACATCTCTCCTGATTCCGAAGCGGTGAAAATCTACTCTCTCATACTCGGAGAACGACTCCCCTATACTTTTTAGCGTCTCCCCTGCGTTACCCTTTGTATACGGTGTAAATGCCAAAGGTAAATAAGACGTAAAAACTAGCACTTAAAAACTACTCTTATATCAGCTAAATCATAAATTTTAATATTTACATTTCCAATGTCTTTGTCCTTGATAAAATTACCAATTGTAAATGTAATTTATTTCGAATGTTTTGGCGCGGTTCCCAATAAAAAAACAAGGACAGTGAGCCCGTGGATTGGCGGAATCCAAGCATGTAAATATAAGGAATAACTGTCAGATTTTTCGAATTCATGAAGATGATCAATGGATTGGCTTGTGCCTTCGGCGTTTATGCAAATTATCACACAAGCCAATCCATTGCCTGATCCGTGAATGCATTATCGTTGATAACAAGGATGACCATAACCTAGTAGTTTGTTTACAAGGATTGAAAACAAGGAAGTAAAATAAAAAAAAAAGCACGAAAAAATGTAGGGTAAATTGTTATTTTTCTTAATTTATCTGAAAATTTTTCAAAGATATCAAAGATATGATTATGAAAATGTTGCCAACAACTGGTTAAGTACTGCATAATACAGAAAACGTCTCTAAGCATTTCAAAAATTTTATTACAATTGTAAAGAAATATACTGAATATGTATTTTTTAAATCAGGTAGTTTTATATTGCACTTTGCATTCTGTTGAACTACACAGAGAGAATATATAGATGTATCGATGACGTATTGTCAATTAACAATTGTAATTTCCATTCCTACGTCGATACGATATATCCTGGAGAACTTGAGATAAAAGATACCACGAAGTCTGACACATCTATTTTACAATTGGATATTTTACTTGAAAAAGACGTTAATGGTAACCTTACAACCAAGCTATATGATAAACATGATGACTTTAACTTTTCTATCGTCATCTTCCCTTACTTATGCCGCAATATACCTCCATCACCAGCATATGGAGTGTACGTTTGAGCAATCCTAAAACGATGTAAATTATAAACAAACAAGCAAGTTCATGGAACAAGAATATCACAGTCTTGTTTAAAGTCATCATTTCGTAAGTTCTATGGTCGATACAATGATCGTGTCAGCAAACACAATTCATTTCCCGCTATTTCCCGATTATGACAAGGAGCACGCGGCGGATGCGACCGGCCAGCAGGGGATGTTCACTCCTCCATGGCACCTGATCCCACCTCTGATGTTTTTGAGGTCCGTGTTTGCTCTGCTCCTATTTTTTTTCTTTTATGGACTTTGATATTGAATACTGTTCGTTATCTCCATATCCTTCATATAAAGAATATTTTACATTTTTCATTTGGATATAGATTATCAATTTCTTAAGTGAGAGAAAATTTAAATTTTTGAGAGTGCAAAAAAATTCAACTCCTTATCCAATTTTAAAAGATTTTTAAAATTCGTTACAGTGTCTTTGATTTCCTTTAGCCTCTGTAAATTTTTTACACAACGTTGTAGTCTGCTATTTCAAAAAGTAGCAGTTAAGTCATCAAAGTAAAGCAATTTCGAGATTGTAAAAATGGATTTAAACAAATATAAGGAGAAACTTTGGCAGTTTGAGTTTTTGCCAAGATCTTTTGTTTAATCTCGCTTTCTGAAAATAATCCAGGGTAAAAAATAAATGCAATACTCTTCTAAGAGGGAAAGAAAGTTGTGAGTTTTGCCGTCTTTTTGATATTTTTAAAACTGTGAAAAATAACCACAGTGACTTTGATTTTTTCAGAATGTGTAAATTATCCATTTTACTCCCTAAAATAATGATAGTATTTCACTTTTGAAATTATAGTAAAATTTATCCAAATATACAAATAAAATAATGTTAAAATATGTTCTACAAACATAAATATTAAGAAATAATTGATGATCCTGTTTAATTTATCCTTTAGGTATATGGAGATGAGAAGAATAATTACAAACATAATTAAGGGATTCAACACAATTCATTTGCTGATTTTGACCCTACAAAAATATTATGGTGAAGGTAAATGCATTTCAAAGTCTTGCATACAGTGATTACCCTTACTCAGACACTTTCAGAAAAAATCACACTGTTTGTTTGTTGTTTGGTGTTTCTCTCGAGAATTTTTCATTTGTATGGAGACGCCACCACTTGCAGGCGAAGGGCTGCAAATGTATACCTATGCTTGGCACTCAAGGCGATTGAGCAATGGGGATTTTTTTCGTTCCCGCACCTACTGCGATATGGGACCTCGGCTTTTATTAACTCACCCGAAATATCGGTCTCAAAACCCACACTGTATCTGAACACGCGACGTAGTAATCAGCTCCTAACTCCGAGACTCTAGAGTAGACGCTCTATCCTCTACGCCACGAAAGCGAACATGCTGTTTTGGAAACAAATGCAAAAATACCAAATATAGCAAATGGCGTGGTATTATAACAATCAACTTCAATATGCAAAAATAATGGCACCGTAAAGAGGGGTACTGCCTTAGAGCATATCTATGAATAAGGCAGCATTTGACATTAAGTCACTTTCCGTTTCGTACAGTACATACTCATTTTAACACACACATACGATAATGTATTCAAATATAACATTAGAAACATTTTTTCTTATAATTCTGATTCTTTTGCATTGTTGTAAGTTTTTTGTCATCATCACAATTATAATAACTTTAACAATCATAATTAATATTTCAGCTTCCATTACTTTGACAGTATTACCGTCCAGTATTGTGGAGATTAACCAGTCAGTGACAATACAGTACTTCTTTTCACAACCAGAACTTGCCGTCTTTTTCAATTCTTGGATAAATCCGTCAGTAGCATTTTGTTCTCTGGAAACATCCGGAGGAGTGTGTAAACTTGGGGAATGTGCTAGAAACTACAATACATCATGTCCTAACTCTACTTTTTATAGCGTCCAGTACCCTATCCCATTAAGCTGGAATGGAGAGAGTGTTTACTGTTCGGGGCTATTTACAGGAAACGAGAAAAGTAATAATGTAACGCTCACTGTTATTGGTATGTATTACCAAAATAATTTAGAAATGTACTCCAAGTATAGTATTCTTTAGATTCCGTAAATAATCGTATTTTTACATGAAATGCACGTACGTTTAAACTGTGTGATTTAATTTCAAGAGGTTAACAGAAGCAAAATCAATAATTTTGCATTACATATTTTGCTATCCTTTATATTTTTAGATTTCAGTTGTTCTTGGTTAAAATGCAATTAATTTTATTGTTTTTGAAACATTTCCAGTTGTTGCATTTATCATAAAATACACAATGTAATACATGTAACTGACTTTTGGCCTAAAGTAGGTACAATACAATACCAAAACAATATTAAAATTGGTTGTTGTATATTAAAATACTTTTTTTGTAAAAGGAAATATAATTGAAACAATGTATTCTTATTTATTAACGATTTTTTTTATTTGAAATTCACTATTCACAAATGAAACATGATTTTAAATACTTTTTGATATCTTTTATTTTGAGTTCAGAGGAATATATCGAACCCAAGTAGAAATGATTATTGTAAAACTTATAGGATAAATCTTATTGTTAAATTGGAGGCAAGATACATCTCGTTTTAATGTTATATATTTGGGTAATTGTGTGTACAATCAAATTTTCGAATTTATTTTTTTTAAAAAGAAGCATTTGTCTATGATTGGGCATAAATTTATCATGGGGGTGCTTGTATAGAGTATTGCTGGTATTGTTTTGGTTACTAGTATACATAAAATGAAAGTTTCACTGAGTTTTAAAAGTATCCATATCTAATTTACACCACTTCTCAAATATATTATTGTACTGTGCTCCTGACGTTTAGTTTTAGTTGTGTTAAATGTATACTTAAAATTTTATTAGCCTTACTTTAACCTTTTTGATTATCTCGACGGGAATTTGCAGTTTGGTGGATAATTAATATTCTTTATTAATTCTATCATTTTAATTGAATTGTGAAATCATATAGAATACTCTTTGCACAGCATTTGGCGGACATTAAAGAAATAAAATGTGTATGTTTGGTTATGGAGTACAATTGGAATATTAATGTTTTTAAAGTGCCAGTGACGTCAGTGACTCTGACGCCTACCCGGATGACAGTTGATGCCGGTAAAACCATAACTCTGACCTGTCAGACAGGTTACTGCAACCCAGCAGCAAACATCACGTGGTTCAAGTCATCAGTTGACGTCACCAGTCAGGCCACATCTTCCACGGATACTGACAGTAAAGGCCTAGTGAGAACAACGTCAGTACTACAGTATACAGGTGTCGCAGGGGACAATGGTCAACAAGTGTACTGCCAAGCTATGAACAAGAAAGATCAAAGAGTCACTTCAACTCAACATACGCTAAATATCAGTTGTACGTATTCAATGCTTGATAGAGTAATATTGTAGTTGGAATGCTTAATTTAGATTTAGCAGATTTAAAAATATATATATATATATATATATATATATATATATATATATATATATATATATATATATATATATATATATATATATATATATATATATAATATATATAAAGAGTGTTAGGTTAAAGACTTTTTAAAGTTAATCATTTTATTTATTAGTTTTAACCCAGTCGTTTTTTATTTTTATTTCGAATGTTAGTTTTGAACAGGGTAGAATATGCTTATTATAGTTACATAAAAACATCAAAATTCACATCTAAATAAGGAATGCTTTAAGTTGATATTCATTAGGAAAATTATTATCATGTATCAACATGTTAAGAAAAAAAGAAAAGTAATGTGTACCTTAATTTAAATGAAATGATTACCTGTATTATCACATTGATGAGTACATCACCGTTTCAGATAGCTCAGACGTACGCATCCTCCCATTTCCTCGAGTTTTAAACCTAGTTGACGGACAACGGCAGATATTCATACATTGCTTCGTTGAAAATGCAAATCCGGAAGAAAATATTGAATACACATGGATAAAATCAGAAGGCCCTAATTCTTCTATTGTCACGTCGTCTCAAACATACGTCATAAAGTCTGTGAGTTTTGAGGATAGCTGTAGATATATCTGTACGGCAAGGAATTCTTTCGGAAACTCTAGTGGCATCATTGACGTTAGTGTGCAGTGTAAGTTTCCCTTCTTCATAGTTTAAATTATAAGCGGACACTTAAAAGAAAATATAACATACAGGTGATTTATTAAAAAATGTGTTCTTTGAAATGAAACGTGACTCTTTTATTGCTTGTTTCTTAAAAATCAGGTACTTTTTTTCTTGCATTTCATTTTACTTATTAGTTACTCCCCTGGCACCTAAACTTGAATATGCTATATGTAAATCAACATTTGCTACTGTCATTTGGACGTCTTCGCGCACAGCCTATAATGATTTCAAACTACAAGAAACACTTCAGTTACGTGAACTAAACAAAATATTTGTGAATGTAACAAATGAACAACTGAATAGCACCGAGACCAGCCTTTATGTTCAGAAAGTGAAGACGCTGAAGCCTAGAACAGAATATGCCTTTCGAGTACTGACTTCAAACCGATACGGGGTCACTTTTTCTAATGCTATGTCATGTGTCACAGACCCAGAGCTTGAAGGTATTACCACTCTATTTATTTATCTTTCAACATAATAATAGTACTTGAAAATGATAACATCTTTTTCATATTATAGAAAATTATCAAGGTTGTGACAAAGGAGAGATAATCGGCGGAACACTCGGTGGATTTGCTTTTTTCTTTATTTTGGCAATGAGTGTTGTTATTTTGAACAAATACAGACAAAGAAAGATCACTAAAGGTGTGTTAATTACCTATGTCTATGAGACGACCACAATTTGATGTGAATAAACTTAAATGAATCAGAAATATATCTGTATTTCATTTAATATTATGAATTTTTTTTAAAAAAATCCTTATTCTTCTTATCCAACTACAAATGTATAGAAATGCGTCATTTTGACGATATTTATATTTATTTTAATGTATGCATAAGATCATGCACTGCTAATGCATGTTTGTGTTTCTAGCAGCATAAAATATACTATTTTCTAAGTAATTATAGTTTTAATTACAATTTAATCAATTGATTATAAACAAGATATTAATCAAATTAAAGACAAGGCAGTAACTAAAGAGGCACTTTTTGTTTATTTATTATTTAATCTAATTTGACAAAGTCTTCTGATTTTTATTTTTATTGTAGGAAAGTCGGTGAAAACGTATTGTATTCACTTATTCATCCTACCTATTTATTTTGAAAAAGAAGAGAAATTTATACTATACTTAACTGCACATATTTGTGTCTTAACACGGTCATACATTAAAAAATAACTACAATATTGTTGTGTCGCTTAACTATGTTAAGCGCACATTTTATCTCTTTCATATTTTTAAAATTTACTTTTATATCAATGTTCAATGTAAAATTATACATTGTTTGTATCATCAATATTACTATTTGAACTTGTTTAAGTAGAAATCAAAATGAAAGTTATGTGGATCAATTCTCCCAGCGAGACGTTCATCAATATGAGGGAATTTCCCCTGACTCAAATAAAGGTAAGGTCCTAAAAAGGTTTAACGAACTGTTTAGATTTTCTTTTTTCTGTAATAGATTTTTTTTATTTTTACATATATTAGAGTTGAGATTTGTACACTAAAATGTGTAGTTGGTTGTTGTCAGAGTGGCAAGCTCTCTTGATATCTTTATCCTGAAGCCTCTCAAACCCAACCACCCTTTTCTTTTTGGTCTTGTTTTCTTAAAACAAGTGTTGATAAGTTTTATAATAAGAAATTACATTAAACTATTTCAAATAATTATACTGAGAAATTATTAAGAAATGAAATTTATTTTTAATAACGCTGAAAAATAGTTTTGAAAAATGAAATAATTCAGAATAAAGCAAGCTCAACATTCCTAGCATTTTTTTTATTTTCAAACTATTTTGTTTCTATTCACAGGATCTTCTCCCACGGAAAAGAGGTAGAATCTATAGCTCAATACTTTTATAAAACAAAAACGCTTTATTTTTAAGATAAACACGATTATTTCTATATGTCTCGAACTTTCGACTTCGCTTGAATTGCATGATTACCTATGGAAATAACATGAGAAAGTTTTCACATTTGATGAAGTTATTTGTTAGCAGTTATTTGTAGATCTTAGTACAGTTTGCATAAATTCAAGAATTAAAAGTTAAACAACGTCGGTGCTATATTTAAAGCAAGCTTATTTATAAATGATAGCTATCACATATTCTAATGCTAATGGTTCATGAGTTGTATATAACCTTTCTTTTGATTATTCTTGAATTGAAAAAAAATAATCGTTTAGACTTCTAGTTATTCTGTGCCAATTTTCAAAATATTGTACGTGAAAAGAAGAAAACACTTGCCGTGGGCTGGCCTTCAACTCGACATTAAGATATAATGACGTTGTATTTTTATTAAACAATGGTTATTTCCATTCTTATTTCCATACGATTTATCCCAGTGAGCTTGAAATAGATACCACATAGTCTGACACATCTGTTTCATATATAGATATATTACCAGAATAAGACGTTAATAATTTTCAAACACCAAAGCTTTTTGATAGACAAAATGACTTTAAATTTTCTGTCGTTAACATTCCTTTACTTATGCAAAAATATATCTTATTGCATTAAAGAGATTGAAATTTTCATTAAACAATTCCGGAAATAGGTAGGGAAATGACAGTTTCTGGAGAAGTTTTATATGATGTATTACATGCTGTTTCAGGGCTGAATACATGGAACTACCTGATTCCACTTACACAGACATAGACAAATCGACAGCGGGTAATCTACAACTTCTATACTTTAATTAATTCACTATCAAACAACTTTTTATGTACATTTCCCCAAATTTTTTCATGTAGTCTGTGGGTAAATTGCTTTGTAATTTCATACTGTTCTTTAAGGTTCAGCTTGTTCCTTTTTCTAACATTTTGGTAGGCTTTGTGCAATTATCACTAAAGTCTTCCACTATATTTATTACCATTCGTAACTATATAATTTTTCTTTATTCCAGTTGCCAGCAGATTATACTCAAATACAAAATAGCATGTAAGCATCAATTTATTAAATTATCTTGCCTTTTTAAAAACACTCAATCTAAACTGCAAAAATTAAATGAAAGTGATCGCATGTATATATGAATGTGGGTTTCTGTTGTGCCTGTTATTCGGCTGAAATTTTTCATGGTCATTGTCAACTAGACTTGTTTTTATGTGTCTGTATGTTGACTAAAACAATTTGAATTATCATAATTTCCTAAATATACAAAAAGCAACTGAATAAATCTATCGATGAATGCACAAGCAAACAGACAAAAAAGGCCAAGGATTTTTAAACTATGGCCTTCTTATTTAAAACTATATGAGTTAGCAGCATGTACTTATTTTCATCGCCGAGACAGAAAGTATAGATTATTTCGAAATTTCAAACAAAATAAAAGCAAGATTATTTTAACAATAAGTAAAATGCAAAAAATAAAATGAAAAAATCGAAGTCCAAGACTTGGCAAATAAATTTAGCATCTCTTGGGAAAATCTATTCATTTAAAATAAAGAACACAGAAAACTCGTTCTAGAAAGGTCATAAAAAAATTATGTTTAGGGTAAAATACAAAACATTTTAAATGCGTTTTAGAAAAGTCATAAATTTTTTATATCACAAAACGCAACCAAAAACATCTCTAATCTTTAGATGAAACATATGGAGATAACGAACAGTATTCAAGATCAAAAATCCATAAAATGATACAAGATAGGAGCAGGGAAGACACGGACCTCCAAAATATCAGAGGTGATATCAGGGGCCATGGAGGAGTGAGCATTCCCTATCGACCGGTCACACCCGCCGTGTACTCCTTGTCGTGATCGGGAAATAACGGAAAAAATCTGTCGTCAATTCAGTGTGATTATAAACAATGGACTAAAAATTAGTAGGAAAAACGTCAGTTAGCATTTGATAAATTGTATTTGTTAACAAGGTCATTGTGTGGACCATAGAAAAATCCTTATATATACCATTACTGTGCATTTTCTTTGATAATTCTATAACAGGTTTACATTATTCCGGGGTCCTCTGAGAATTAAATAATTGTCTAGTAGCTGAATTATTCCGGTTTTATTAAGATTATCTTTTTTATTTCTGAGAAGTGAATCTTAAGTTAATAAATCAAAAATTTAAAATGTTGTAGACCATCAATAAAAAGTAGCGACGTACATGTATCTCTAAAATATACAGGAATATGCTGTGTTTATTCATTTATAATACATTAAACACGATATGACATGGCACATGATCCCACCTATGATATTGTGGAGGTCCATGTATGCTTAACTCCTATTTTGTATTGTTTTACGGAGTTTTGAACTTGGATATTGTTTGTCATCTCCATATTTTTCATGATATCATGCAATTTCCAAAAAGGAGTTGTGCTTCTTTTCAGGAATATCCACCCGTAAGGGAATCAAAACATAACGGTGTTTCTGGTACTGTTGGTTACCCTTTACACTTAGGAATCTCCTTATTCGATGTCGTCTGGTCATTGATTTTTTTCCAGAGCATATGGAAATTGTCATAATTGTATTTCTTGTGACGTCTTCGAGAAAATTGAAATAAAATTGTTTTAATGCATTTTCTGCTTAAATTTTGTTTTTTCTTACAGAAACTTGCATTTCTGTAGCCAGTTTTACTAAAGGTCGTAAGTCAAATCGTAGACGTAAGCGTAGACGTAGCCGTAACTTACGCTGATTTTGCGTTTTACTAAAAGTCGTATCTTACGATTTGACGTAGATTTACGTGAAAATCTACGTGTGCCCTATAGCAGTCGTAGGAAAACACGTAGCCTTATAAATATTACTATAACTTTATAAATATGACTAGTACTTTAATCTGAATGTATCTTTGGGGGGAAAAAATCATTAATTTTTTCATTAATACAATCTCATGTTACAATTTTTATTTCCCGTGATTTTTCTGGAGTTTATCGAATAATAATAACATGTCAACTTGTGCAATATAATGCCCTAATGGACATACTCGAAAATTTACGTAAAGATGAAATAAAAAAAATACGCAATAAATTTTGAAGTGTAGAGTATTCATAAAACGATTTGTTGTTTTAAAATCTTATAGGCACAAGTGCGGGGGAGGGGGGGGGGGGTACAGAATCAATTATTAAATTTATATACTGTATCATGTAAAAAAAAAAAAAAAAAAAAAAAAAAAAGGACTCGTAAAAACGGGGAATCCCATGTTAAATTGGTATTACGTTGTCACATGAATTTTTAAGAAAATATAAAGTTGAAAAAAAACAAACAATCACAAACCTCGATTTCAATCGCTATAAATAAGATTTGAGCACTTGCAATTTATTTTACTATCATGTTACACCTATAAATATGAAGCCTGCATGTACAAGTACATCTTTACGGAAGAAACCTTTTTTAAAAATATTACAAAATTTTATTTGTTACGTAAAAATGACAGAGTTTCTTAACAAAAGCATTTTAATAAAAAATACCGCACACTGTAAAGGCCTATCTTTTTTCCCGGAGTCATATGACGTCATAGAAGAATTTACGCAATGGATACAGAAAATTACGTGATAATTTAGAAATGCAAAATAGAATGCACCTCTTGTAAAAGATTTTTTTTATTATATGCAGACATGTTACATGATACAGTGTATACTCTTATCAGTGCTTTGTTATTCATTGTATGTAAAGAATGAATTTCTAAAAAAAAAAAAAAGAAAGAATTCACCGATCATGTGCTAATTTCTGTGACATTTTATCGCAAATCACATGGCCTTCTTGTACATTGATAAAATATAAAAAAAGTAGATACGTGAGAGAGAGAGAGAGAGAGAGAATTAGAAAATAACAATTGAGGGTCGATTGTAAGTTTTTTTTTCTGTTTTCAAATTTTTACAGAAAAGAAATTAGAGAAAGTTTTAGCAAACCAATATTGCATATTGTTATTAAGAAAAATATAATTATTAACAGTATGTTTTTTCTATCATGAACAATGCTTGGGCTTTTAATCTCTAAACACTTATAATGCACGACTAAGTAAAATATTTTCAGCAATTAATTGAGATATATAAAGAGGAAAGTTTTTTTTTTCAGAGTTTTATTTTTTCATGATAGAAAAAACATACTGTTAATAATTATATTTTTCTTAATAACAATATGCAATATTGGTTTGCTAAAACTTTCTCTAATTTCTTTTCTGTAAAAATTTGAAAACAGAAAAAAAAAACTTACAATCCACCCTCATAGATTGTTATTTTCTAATTCTCTCTCTCTCTCTCTCTCTCTCTCTCTCTCTCTCTCTCTCTCTCTCTCTCTCGTATATAGTTTTTTTATGTTATCAATGTACAAGAAGGCCATGTGGTTTGCGATGAAATGTCACAGAAATTAGCACATGATCCGTGATTTTTTTTTTTTTTTTAGAAATTCATTCTTTACATACAATGAGTAACAAAGCACTGATAAGAGTATACACTGTATCATGTAACATGTCTGCATATAATAAAAAAAAATCTTTTACAAGAGGTGCATTCTATTTTGCATTTCTAAATTATCACGTAATTTTCTGTATCCATTGCGTAAATTCTTCTATGACGTCATATGGCTCCGGGAAAAAAGATAGGCCTTTACAGTGTGCGGTATTTTTTATTAAAATGCTTTTGTTAAGAAACTCTGTCATTTTTACGTAACAAATAAAATTTTGTAATATTTTTAAAAAAGGTTTCTTCCGTAAAGATGTACTTGTACATGCAGGCTTCATATTTATAGGTGTAACATGATAGTAAAATAAATTGCAAGTGCTCAAATCTTATTTATAGCGATTGAAATCGAGGTTTGTGATTGTTTGTTTTTTTTTCAACTTTATATTTTCTTAAAAATTCATGTGACAACGTAATACCAATTTAACATGGGATTCCCCGTTTTTACGAGTCCTTTTTTTTTTTTTTTTTTTACATGATACAGTATATAAATTTAATAATTGATTCTGTACCCCCCTCCCCCGCACTTGTGCCTATAAGATTTTAAAACAACAAATCGTTTTATGAATACTCTACACTTCAAAATTTATTGCGTATTTTTTTTATTTCATCTTTACGTAAATTTTCGAGTATGTCCATTAGGGCATTATAATGCACAAGTTGACATGTTATTATTATTCGATAAACTCCAGAAAAATCACGGGAAATAAAAATTGTAACATGAGATTGTATTAATGAAAAAATTAATGACTTTTATCCCCCAAAGATACATTCAGATTAAAGTACTAGTCATATTTATAAAGTTATAGTAATATTTATAAGGCTACGTGTTTTCCTACGACTGCTATAGGGCACACGTAGATTTTCACGTAAATCTACGTCAAATCGTAAGATACGACTTTTAGTAAAACGCAAAATCAGCGTAAGTTACGGCTACGTCTATGCTTACGTCTACGATTTGACTTACGACCTTTAGTAAAACTGGCTACAGAATAACTCGTTTTTCAAGCATATCCTTTCGTCAATTTAATCTTCAATGGTAATAGTTTCTTAAATACTTTTGGAGCAAATGGTTTAAAATCATTACTGCTTAGCTAAAGAAATTTTATTACTCTTACTCCAATTGGCAGTAGAATAATCTTGCACAGTTTCATAAGATAAAGAAATTCATTTCAGTAAACAATATGCATATTGACCAGAGGAAAAGACCACAGGTTATGTCAGCTTCCTAAGAGAAGCCAGCATCCCCTGTATACCGGAAAAAAAAAACCGTACTGATCGAGTAGACAGAATAATGCGTAGTCAAATTTAGTCTTTAAATAATGGAATACAAAATTGAACTAAATTCATCAGTTAAAATCCCAGCAAGCTATGGGTTGTATCTTCAAGCAAGAACATTATACTTAACGAGGAAATTGAAAAATCATTACTTTAAAAAATGTCATTATGTGCTCTTAAATACTGCAACTGATGAACAGTTCGGTTCATATGAACCTGAAGCACATTTGCAGCTCTGTTCTGCAGTATGATAAATAATAAAGAGGGTTTGTGTGTGTATAGAGCATTTATTACAAATGCCAAATGAGATTACAGATTTTACAAATTCAGAATGCAGCAGAAGGTGGGGCCCGAAAAATATCCCACACCTTATACAAAAGAAAACTAGTATATATATCTTCTACAACAATAACAATAGGCACTTTATACAAAAGAAACTAGTACATGTGTTTTCTACAATAACAATAGGTATGGAGGATTGAAGGGGTGGAGGTGGGTAAGATTTGTAAACCACATTTTCGGAGCCAAAAGTTATTTTGATAAGGATAAGGCTAACATCCGTAACTAGAGGGCGCTTAGATATAAAACCCAAAAAATCCCTTGGGACCCATGAATTCACACAAAATAGTGATTAATAAAAATACGCAATTTTGTACGCATTTAGACAGTGGCGTATGTTCCATATAGGCAAAAAGGCTGTAGTCTACACATCACTTTCTCAAGAATAAAAATTTGGTTGAATAAAGGGGCGGGGAGTTGATAATAAATCGTACCTATTAATCTATTTTGTTGGAAATGGAAAAAAAAAAAGCTTTCTTTTTAATCCGCACTTTTATACCTAACCTATTATGTTTACAGTTTTGCTTTATATTTAAGTACAAAACTATTCCCTTAGCTTGACATTTTATAAGCCAAAGTTCAAGTGTTATTAATATCAAGTCTGAATCAGAAAATTTAATCAAAAACAACAGGATCCCATAATATGTGCAGGAAACGAAATTGATAACTTGCATTATATATTTGTTAGTCAACATTTTGATCGAATTTTGATTATTTAGTAAGGAAGTTTCCATATTTTCGAAGCGGATATCAAGTAAAATGATAAGTTATCAGTTTTGTTAAGTGGTCTTCACATCACGATATAAACTGTAATATATGTACAATATTATTTTCACTGGTCAAATTAAAATTGCAGATGTCTGAGTTTGCAAAAGTGGTCCCTTTGAACCTCCCCCCCTCCCAATATCTATCGAGAGGAAGCTCTTTGTCTACCCAAGCTTTGCAGCTCAGGTTAAATATATGGCTTCACAAAAGCCTACACGTTATCAGAAAGGAATATACGCCACTGTTAGATCACATAAATTCCTGTATATACATAAATACACAAATTCCTGTATCTTCAACTTATAAATAAATAGCTGATTTTTTTTATTCAAAACGTGCTTACCCATTTTTGTCATTCTCTTGCATACAAAATCATATGGGAGACAAAAAGAGATGACTCTAGTAATACTTAGCATACTCAAACCGACCAGTGCATCAGATATATGACGGTACGAATCATGTTCTGTCCATGAAGAGTCTTACATTTGACATAATGGCAAATTCGAGTTTCCTAACTAATTTAAAGCATTTCAACATGTCCTACACATTCATTTTTGACTTTTTAGAGCACTCATGCACTTATTGTACACACTTATTGGCTTTTTTTTAATATTCCTATGAAGCAGAATTAATTTTACAATGTCTATATGAGAAGTAGTAAACACTTGCAGTGGCCCTCTACTCGACACTTAAATATATGGACGATGTTTTTGCAATTTACAATCGTTATTCCCATTTAGCTGAACCAACGAATCATTTAGATGTAGACTCGATATATTCCAATGAACTGAAAATGGACGATAATTCTGAATCTTTCTCACAAATATGTTCCTATTTGATGTTTTGCTAACTACAGATGGCAAAGAAAAACAAATTTAAAAATTGTATTACAAACGAGATGACGTCAGCTTTTCCACCACCAACTTTTTTGTACAGTATTCCACTCGAGTAAAGTCAGCCTCTTGTAAATTCTAAGGTCGTTTTAAGCATATTTTTCATGCATATCTGATAAATGCTCTAAAGTAATACTGGTAATCAACTAATCGTATTTAAATGCAATTCTTAATTCTGTCTTGCATTTACGATTTTAAAAAATTATAAGGAGTTATATGATATTGATATTCATCCATCAGGTAATTAACAGTGTTAAGTCTAAATTCGAACTTAATGTTAATACATGTATAATAAGTATTTACTGAAAAATCAATACTTATTATAACTACAGCGTGCTCTTTTATACTTTCTTAATATCAAGGTACATGTATAATGAAATGCGTCATTCAAAAGAGTCAATAAATATTGGGTGAGATCTTTCCCTTAAAACCTTTATTTGTATAACATACTTATAACGGTCACATAAACCAGGAAGTTTTTTTTCTTTAGCATAACCGTCGTAGAAAAAAAAATTACCATGTCGTACTTTCACAATAAGGAGGGAAGAAATATACTATTTTTTCTTGTGCATTTTACTTTTTTTATTCCCTCATCAAAAGGTAAATTACTTGTAATATTCATTTATTTTTTAGTTTTTTTAAATGTACTTTTATTACTATGTTACTGATAATGAAAAAAATGAAGATAACGAACAGTGAACGATCTTATAAAATCTACAAACAATAGAAATCCTTGAATGGGGCATAAAGCACAGACCCCAAAATGTCCATAGGGGTGTTCAGGGAGGGGGTCAAGAAACGTAAGCATACCCAGTCGTTCACACTCGCTGTTAGTCCTATGTGTGATAAAGTAGACGGAAAATTTATATGGTAGCAAATTTCTGTCCTTACATGCAAGGTAAATTATGTCAACATGCATAAAAAGTATGCCTACATGCAAAGATAATTATGTCTCCATGCTTGATAAATATCTATCTTGAGAATCTGATTTGGAACATGGGTACATACACCTGCAGCAATAACAGACATCAAAGATTCAAGATGCAACAAATGCGACTTATTTATGTCAAGCTGCGAGTAATATATGTTTACAATGAAATATGTAAGCTATACCAATTCTTCGGAACAGAGCAATCTTGGGCCTTCAAATCTTTAGAGGTGAGATCAGGTGCCATAGAGGAGTAAGTAGCATCCCCTGCAGCAAGATACAAGCAAGATATTTATGTCAACATTTGAGACATGCGACTCATAATAGTCAACATATTTATTTGTCGCAATTTTCTCATGCCTTAAATGAAGTCATCCAATAAAAATATAAATAACCATCATCTGACTATTGAAGCAATCTTTAACATATCTGAAAGTTTAAAAATTATTTGTATATGGTGTCGGAAAACCTGTTTGGACCCAGCAGTTCATAAACTTGTGTTTTCTTCATTTCTGTAGCCTCCATAACCTTGACAGTATCTCCATCTGGTCCTGTGGAGGTGAATCAGACAGTGACAATACGATGTACCTTTGAGAGTAATCCAATAGCTGCATTATTTTACACAACTGAGAATCCATCTACATCATTTTGTGATCTTACGAAAAACATATCTGCAAACGTTTGTATAGGTGATTGTGCATCAAAGTACACTACAGCCTGTCCCACTGATGAAATATACAGTATGGTGTATCCTGTTCCTCGGGGCTGGAATGGAAGAGGTGTTTACTGCAGAGGATTAATCTCAAATGAGAGATGTAATCAAGTCAACTTCAGTGTTACTGGTATGTTATCTCATTGTTTATATTTATAATGTTTTCTCTTAAAATAATACCACTATGAACCAGCACTCACCAGTTGCATGTAAACGCAGGTTTCTAACGTCATAAATGCAATTTCTTAGTGGCGTCATGTAGAGTCCAAATGTTTCCAATTGATTAAATATATGCAACAGAGTTTTGAAAATATTTGGATTTTGATTAAGTATTAGAATTACAAAATATTTTCTCAATCATTATCCCTTAGAAATTCTTTCATTATTAGTGATATTGGATGGAATTTGCTTATCAATGCCAATAAATTGGTTTAATATATACTTATAGTAATAAAACGGTTTTTTTTTTTGCAAATGCAATAGCCATATCAATCCTGCAGGGCTGAAACTGATCTGCATTCTGATACGAATTTATATTACATACCTAGTAAATTAAACTTCTAAAACATAACATGTGATAATACGACCATTTTTTTTTGTTTACATTCTCATTGTTTTAAATAAGTGTTCTTTGATAAAATAAGCTACATATCGGTAGTCAGAATATAATTATATATTTGTATTTTTTCTCAAGTTGATGTTTGCTGTATTTCATAACTAAGTATGTATTAAATATATTATTTTTGATATGAGCAATATTCAGGATATATATAACATGACGAAAGCGTTGGCAGTGATTATTTTTTAATCTTTTTGGATTATTATATATATTTTTTGTATTGTATATATAATTTTTACATTTCATAGTTTCAGTAACATCAGTAACCCTGACCCCAGCCCAGATAACCGTGGATGCTGGTAAACAGATAACTCTAACCTGTCAGACAGATTACTGTAACCCAGCAGCCAACATCACGTGGTACAAGGCATCAGCCGTTCTGACCACGCCCACTACAGACACCACAGACACCGACAGTAATGGCCTTATAAGGACGACATCAGTACTACAATATACAGGTGTGGCAGGGGACAATGGTCAACAGGTGTACTGTAGAGCCACCAACAGACCAGAAAAGAACGTGGAGTCCAACAAAAACACACTGGATGTAAGATGTAAGATAAATGTATTTAATTTTAATTGTTGATATATACATGTTACATTTAACTGCTTAATTATTACTTACATTATGAAAATACAGATACGCAATACTACATTATACTAAAGAGTTTTACAAGATAAACAAACTGAAATGTGTATTTTTACTTTTATTTGGGAAATATAATGTTTGCTGGATGGTTGTGCTCAAAATAGTAAAGCATTATATAACTAGTGCTAATTGTAACGGGAACCGTTACAGATGTTCCCCAAACGCTCCCCAACTCCCTTCCTGCCATATTCGCTGTAAGTTTCATTAAAGAAGGCAAAATCTATGCATTTAAGAAGTAAATAACGTTTTTCCAAAAGTATACCAAGTATTTCAAATTTAAGCAATGCAGGCGTGCGCATGTGATTGCATGAGCGTAATGACGATATCAACTTGTCTACACTATTTTACTCATTTGCACGTGCACGCACGTGCATGATGACCATCCTTCTTGTAGGAGTCCATTATGTCTGTCTATGTTCTTAATCCCATCCTGTTTGGTTGAAAAACAAGGGAGTTATAGCCATTTAAAGTTTAAGCCAATCAGACTGCAGCGCACATACATGCGCGTATTTTAATGACAATTATTATATATCATATTGTAGGACATCTTAAAGTATGCTTATGTTTTAAATTTCAAAGCATTTTATAAAAAAAACAGAAAAGATATTGAGATTTTTGTGCCAGCCAATCAGAGCAAAGCGCACGTGCACGCACATGCATGCATGTGAATGGTGACCATACCATCCTGTAGGAGTCCTTTATGTCTATTTATGTTGTAAATCCCATGCTGTTTGGTTGAAAACCAAGGGAGTTATACTCATTTAAAGTTTCAGCCAATCAGATTGCAGAGCACGCGCATGCGCGTGATTTCATGAAAAATTTTATATATCATATTGTAGTACATCCTAATGCATGTCTATGTTAGAAATTTCAAAGCATTTCATCATAAAACAAAAAAGATATTGAGATTTCTGTTTCAGCCAATCAGAGCAAAGTGCACGTGCATGCGCGTGAGTTCATGCAAATTTGACCATGTCATCTTATCTACACAACTTATATATCTTTATATAATGAGTTTCAAAACATTTTATCAAAAAATATAAAAGTTACAACCATATTAAATATATCAGTCATTTTACTCATTGCACGCGCCCGCACGTGCATGCGAATGCGCGCAAAATGACCCTCGTTCGGCACATCTACACAACATGCCTACTAACCCTAAAAAGGTTTTAACTTAGTTTGGTGAACAGTTTCTGAGAACACTTCCGGACAAAAAAGTACCGGAGAAGAAATAAGAAGAAAAAAGAATAATAATAATAATAACTAGTGCTAATTGTAACGGGAACCGTTACAGATGTTCCCCAAACGCTCCCCAACTCCATTTTGGTGCCATATTCCCTGTAAGTTTCATTAAATAAGACAAACTCTGTGCATTTTTTACTTTAACAACGTTTTCCCAGAAGGATACAAATTATATTCAAATTGTAGCATTGCACCCGTGCGCATGTGAATGCATGTGCGTTATGACCATATCATCTTGTCTACATTATCTATATATTTTAATATACTATAATTAAAGCATTCAGTCCAAAAGTATTAAAAATTACTCATTCAGGTGTAATTTTAAATCCACTTGTTCCAAATGCATGCACGTGCGTGCACGTGCATGATGACCATACCTTCTTGTAGAAGTCCCTTATATCTATCTATGTTCTAGATCTCATCCTGTTTGGTTGAAAAACAAGGGAGTTATAGCCATTTCAAGTTTCAGCAAATCAGATTGCAGCACACGTGCATGCGCGTGATTTCATGATTTTTTTTCTATATCATATTGTAGGAAATCCTACTGCATGTATATGCTTTAAATTTCAAAGCATTTCGTCAAAAAACAAGGGAGATATAGCCATTTAAAGTTTCAGCCAATCAGATTGCAGCACGCGCGCATGCGCATACTTTCATGAAAATTTTTATATATCAGGCTGTAGATCTTCATAATGTAGGACTATGTTCAATATTTCAAAGGATTATGACAAAAAACAAGAAAGATATTGAGACTTTAATTTCAGCCAATCAGAGCGAAGCGCACGTGCATGCGCGTGAGATCTTGCTATTTTGAACATGTCATCTTGTCTATACTACGAATGTATCCTTACATTATGAGTTTCAAAAAAATTCATCAAGAAATAGAAATGTTACGCCTTCATCAATAATATTGGTTATTTCACGTGTTGCACGTGCGCGCTCTTTCCAGCACACGTGCATGTACGTGCTTTCATGATAATTCTTATATATCATGCTGTAGACCTTTATAATGTATGACATAGTTCAAAATTTCAAAGGATTATGACTTAAAACAAGAAAGATATTGAGACTTTAGTTTCAGCCAATCAGAGCGAAGCGCACGTGCATGCGCGTGAGATCTTGCTATTTTGACCATGTCATCTTGTCTATACTACCAATATATCCTTACATTATGAGTTTTAAGAATTTTCATCAAAAAATAGAAAAGTTACGGCAATATCCATTATATTGGTCATTTCACGTGTTGCACGTGCGCGCTCTTGCAAGCACGTGCGCGCAAAATGACCTTCGTTTGGCAACTCTACATAACATGCCTACTGACCCTAAAAAGGTTTCACCTAAGTCAGATGTGTTGTTTACAAGATCACTCGTGGACAAAATTTTCCCAGGAAGAAGAAAAATAATAATAATAATAATAATAATAATAATAATAATAAGAAACAGAGTAAAAACAATATGTTCCCCAACTTCGTTTGGGGAACATAACTAGTGCTAATTGTAACGGGAACCGTTACAGATGTTCCCCAAACGCTCCCCAACTCCCTTCTCGTGCCATATTCCCTGTAAGTTTCATTAAAGAAGGCAAAATCTATGCATTTAAGACGTAAACAACGTTTTTCCAAAAGTATACCAAGTATTTCAAATTTAAGCAATGCAGGCGTGCGCATGTGATTGCATGAGCGTAATGACGATATCATCCTGTCTACACTATTTTACTCATTTGCACGTGCACGCACGTGCATGATGACCATACCTTCGTGTAGGAGTCCATTATGTCTGTCTATGTTCTTAATCCCATCCTGTTTGGTTGAAAAACAAGGGAGTTATAGCCATTTAAAGTTTAAGCCAATCAGATTGCAGCGCACGTGCATGCGCGTGTTTTCATGACAATTATTATATATCTTATTGTAGGACATCTTAAAGTATGCCTATGTTTTAAATTTCAAAGCATTTTGTAAAAAAACAGGAAAGATATTGAGATTTTTGTTTCAGCCAATCAGAGCAAAGCGCACGTGCACACACGTGCATGCATGTGAATGTTGACCAAACCATCTTGTAGGAGTCCTTTATGTCTATCTATGTTCTAAATCCCATGCTGTTTGGTTGAAAACCAAGGGAGTTATAGTCATTTAAATTTTCAGCCAATCAGATTGCAGCGCACGTGCATGCGCGTGATTTCATGAAAAATTTTATATATCATATTGTAGTACATCCTAATACATGTCTATGTTATAAATTTCAAAGCATTTCATCATAAAACAAAAAAGATATTAAGATTTCTGTTTCAGCCAATCAGAGCAAAGCGCACGTGCATGCGCGTGAGTTCATGCAAATTTGACCATGTCATCTTATCTACACAACTTATATATCTTTATATAATGAGTTTCAAAACATTTTATCAAAAAATATAAAAATTACAACCATATTAAATATATCAGTCATTTTACTCATTGCACGCGCCCGCACGTGCATGCGAATGCGCGCAAAATGACCTTCGTTCGGCACATCTACACAACATGCCTACTAACCCTAAAAAGGTTTTAACTTAGTTTGGTGAACAGTTTCTGAGAACACTTCCGGACAAAAAAGTACCGGAGAAGAAATAAGAAGAAAAAAGAATAATAATAATAATAATAATAATAATAATAATAAGAAACAGAGTAAAAACAATATGTTCCCCAACTTCGTTTGGGGAACATAATAATAATAAGAAACAGAGTAAAAACAATATGTTCCCCAACTTCGTTTGGGGAACATAATCAAGAAATAAGGTATCATTTTTAAGCATCTATCGGGATATAAATACGGGTTGGTCACGAGATTAAATTCCATAAAGCCCGAAGGGTTTGAGGTTTTGGGGTAATTGGACAATTCATGAAGTGTTAACTGCTGTTTAAACATCATGCCGTTACACATATTTCCCTTTAATGATATTACATGTTATTAAATCACCGTCAAATATTGTGAACTTCTTTTGCAGTTATCTGCGATTATTATTTAAACAAACATTATAATTTAAGTTATTAGTTATGTTCCCCAAACGGAGTTTGGGAACATATTGTTTTTACTCGGTTTCTTATTATTATTATTAAGGTCTTCTGGCTTCAGCGGAAGACCTTCTAGTGATTCTTAGGTTTCTTTTTCACTTTTCTTATTATTATTATTGTTTTTTTTCTTACCGATTTTGTGCACGCGATTTCTCAAAAACGGCTCGATGGATTTCTATGAAACTTTCAGGACTAATGAGGCATTACTTGAACTCGATTCATTTTTTTTCGTTTTGATGACTTCACTTCCGGTTGGGAGTTTTCTGCGATTTTGTGATTTTTAGAGGGTCAATCTGTCCGGCAGTTTTCTCAAAAAGCACTCGACACAGCCGCATGAAATTTTCAGTGATGCTAGAGCAACCTTTGGAGAAGAGTATTAGGTATATCATAACTACCGGAAGTACGAAGCGCCGACGCTCGCTATGGTCCGAAAATAGTCCTATCGCGAATTTCAAAATTTTTAGCACATTTTCTACAATATCTTTTTACCTGGAAATATTTTGTTAAAACATATAGAACAAAAGAAGTGTAGAATTTTAAGACCTTTCAAACGATATCTTGTAAAAGGGGCTGGCCCCTAAAATAAAGGGCCTAGAGGGGCCGAAAGTTTTTTCTTTATATCTCAAAAAGTATTGAGAATTTGTAATACGTCAAAGAAGCAAAGTTGTTCAAAATGTCAAGCTTCATCTATTGAAGTCATCAAAATACGTCCGTCGTCGTCACTTCCGGCAAAACCGGAAGTGGTCGGAAAACGCGTTTTTTTGCCGTTCTTGACAACTTTTTGGGTTACATATGTCTCTGAGAGCATAAAAAGAAGTTTTTCCGTCCGTTGTCGTCACTTCCGGTCAAACTGGAAGTAGCAGAAAATGGCTTATTTTGAAGGTTTTGATGCAAAATTGAAATTATTAAGTCACTGGAGACTACTTAGCTTATTGCTGTCTTTTGTTCCGTCACCTCCGGCATTACCGGTCAAAACTGGACGGAAGACCTACTCGTTTGTTTTTTTTTCTTACCGATTTTGTGCACGCGAGTTCTCGGAAACGGCTGGTTCGATTTTCATGAAACTTTCAGAACTGATAGAACATTGAACAAAGCTGATATATAATTTTTTGTTTGATGACGTCACTTCCGGTTTTGAGATATCCACGATTTAGTGATTTTCAGAGGGTCAGTTTGTCCGCGAGTTTTCTCATGAATGGCTTAGGATAGAAGCTTGAGTTTTTCAGCAATGATAGAGCAATATATGTAGATGTGACATACGTATTTCATTTTCACCGGAAGTGCTGCATGTCGGCGCGCGCTATGGCTCGAAAATAGGCCTATCGCGAATTTCAAAATTTTTAACACTTTTTCTACGATATCTTTTTACCAGGAAATATTTTGATAAAATATATAGCACGAAAGAAGTGTAGAATTTCAGGATCTTTCAAATGGTATCTATAGAAAAGGGCTGGCCCCTAAAATAAGGGGCCCAGAGGGGCCAGAAGTTTTTCCTTTATATCTCAAAAAGTATTGAGAATTTGTAATACGTCAAAGAAGCAAAGTTGTTCAAAATATCAAGGTAAATCTATTAAAGTCGTCAAAATACGTTCGGCGACGTCACTTCCGGCCAAACCGGAAGTAGTCGGAAACGCGTATTTTTGCCGTTCTTGACAAGTTTTTGGGTAACATATGTCTCTGGAAGCATAAAAAGTAGTTTTTCCGTCCGTCGTCGTCACTTCCGGTCATACCGGAAGTACCAAAAAATGGCTTATATGGAAGGTTTTGATGCAAAATTGAAATTATAAAGTCACTGGAGACGACTTAGCTCATTGCTTTCTTTTGTTTCGTCACTTCCGGCACTTCTGGTCAAAACCGGACGGAAGACCTACTCGTTGCTTTGCAACGAGCTTTGCTCTAGTTATTATTATTATTCTTTTTTTTCTTCTTTGTTCTCCGGTACTTTTTTTGCCCGCGAGTGTTCTCAGAAACTGTTCACCCAACTAAGTTTAAACCTTTTTAGGGTTAATAGGTGTCAAGTGTAGGTGTGCACAACGAAGGTCATTTTGCGCGCATACGCATGCACGTGCGTGCGCGTGAAATGTGTGAAATGACTGACATACTTATTATAGCCATAACTTTTACATTTTTTATTGAAATGCTTTGAAACTCATTCTATAAGGATATATTAATAGTCTAGATAATATGACATGGTCAAATTAGCACGAACTCAGGTGCATGCACGTGCGCTTCCCTCTGATTGGCTGAAACAAAGATTTCAATATCTCCTTTGTTTTTTTGACGAAATGCTTTGAAATTTTGAACATTGTCATGCATTAGGATATACTACAATATAATATATAGCAGGTATCATGAAAACACGCGCATGCACGTGCGCTGCAATCTGATTGGCTTAAACTTTAAATGGGTATAACTCCTTTGATTTTCAACCAAACAGGATGGGATTTAGAACATAGATAGACATAGTGGATTCCTACAAAAACGTAAGGTCATCATGCACATGCATGCACGTGCATGCACATGAGATGGATAAAATCAAAAATACACTTGATGAAGCGTATTTTTTAATACTTTTGGATTAAATGCTTTATTATTTTATTATATTAATGTATATAGATAGTGTAGACAAGAGAATATGGTTATTACGCACATGCATTTACATGTGCACGCGTGCAAATGCTAATATTTGAATTTACTCGGTATACTTCAGGGAAACGTTGTTAAAGTGTAAAATGCATAGAGTTTGTCGTTTTTAGTGAAGCTTAAAGGGAGTATGGCACCAAAAGGGAGTTGGGGAGCGTTTGGGGAACATCTGTAACGGTTCCCGTTACAATTAGCCCTAGTTTAATCTTTGTTTTTGTTAATTGTGTCAATACACGAGTAACCCTGTATCATATACTGGGGGTCATTAGAAAGTTATCAATGTCTTTGATACATGTGGATGTTTTATGGTTTTCCTTTCAAAACTGAGTTAAATTACGTAAAGTATACAGAACAAACATAAACAGAACAGTTCTAATGCCGTTTTTCTTATATTTGTTGTTTTTATGTATATAATTATTTGTTTATTGGTGGTGGGTCTATGAATAGAATTATTCTTTAAAAATGTCTGGATAATGTGTATTTTGTTACGATTAACAGGTTGATCGATCGGAACGTCTTGCGGTTAACCGATTGGCAATTCTGTATTCGATTGCCATCCCTAATATTTTGAATACATGATACAGTGTACTTTATGTGTTAGATTGAGTTTGTATAAGTTAGAATTTTACTATGAATGTTTATATGTCATTTTGATGTTTAACATGGCAGATCCTCCATCAACTGACCCTGTCATCACAGCCTCCCCTCCCGAACTTCAGTACAGCAACGGGACTAGAGTAACCTTGACCTGTCAACTACCAGGAGGAAACCCTGTAGCCACGTTGTCATGGCGATGTAAAAGCACAGGAGTGGCAGGAACCAATCAGAGTACCTCTACCATATCTGTATCTGTGTTGTCATTGGTGATGGATAGTTCCTACAACAATCAGCAGTGTACTTGTACAGCTACTCACAGGCTCCTTACCAGCCCTAAATCAAGGAGTATGTCACTAAATGTATTTTGTAAGTCAACTTTTTCTATATAAGTAAGTAAACTTTTTATTAGTCAGTTATTATTGCATTTCTAATTTTCTCAAGAAAGTGTAACATAAAAATTGTCATTTTTAAAAATTTTTAAATAGCTGAGATAATGATTAAATGAAGGATATGGAGATAACGAACAGTATTCAATATCAAAGTCCATAAAACAATACAAAATAGGAGCAGAGCAAACACGGACCTCCGAAACATCAGAGGGTGGGATCAGGTGCCATGGAGGAGTAAGCATACCTTGTCGACCGGTCACACAGGCCATGTGCTCCTTGTCATGATCGGGAAATAACGAAAAATCCGTCGTCAATTCAGTGTATAAATAATAAGATAACAATTAGTATGAAAACCATCAGTCAATGTTTGACTCAATGATATACAATTGTAGCCTTCTGATTCGGTACAATCCCTCGATATATAGACCTTAGAGAAAGCATATCGACCGAGCACCATATGCTTTCTCTAAGGTCTATATATCAAGGGACCTCATCAAAAGGCTATAATTGTATATTTGCTGACAAGGTCATTGTATCGACCATAGAACTTAACGAAATGATGACTCTAAACGAGACTGCTGATATTCTTGTTTCATCAACTTATTTGTCAATTTACCTCGTTTAAAAAAATGTTCATACGTAGAGCATGCTCGTACGTATTGAATCAACTGAGATATGTAAATTTTGTATGCAGGTGATGAAGGTATATTGCTGCATAAGTAAGGAAAGTTCACGATAGAAAAGTTAAAATTATCCCGTTTATCATATAGCTTGGTTGTTAACCATTAACGTCTTTTTCAAGTAAAATATCCAAGTGTGAAACAAGTGTGTCAGACTCTGTAGTATCTGTTATTTCAAGCTCACCAGGATATATCGTATCAACATAGGAATGGAAATACAATTTTTAATAGACAATACGTCGTCGATATACATCGTATCTCGATATATGTAGTTGAAGGCCACTGCAAGTGTTTTCCTCTTTTTATGCATAAGATTATGCATAAATTCTGCTTCAAATGAATATAAAAATAGGTCTGCTAATAAAAGCTAAGAAAAGCGTCATGGAAAGTTGTTATATTAAAGCTATTCAATAAGAACTCAAAATCTAAACTAACTGAAAATTCAATCGTGTTCAAATATTCCATTTCCAAAAAAAAAATTCGTTCTTTTTTGACTCGGTTAAGAACTATTACCAATAAATTACAAATAAATAAATAACAGACGTATTAACTTTCAAATATTTTTATTTGTATGTCCGCTATAAAAAGTACAAAGTGAATAATGTACACTTTTTAACAAAACATTAATTTATATAATCTTTTTAATTAAACAGATGATAAGCAAATAAAGATTGATTATTTGCTGTGATGTCTAATTTAAACGAAATTAAGTTTGAACTTTATCAACAAGATATATTTGAAACTACTTTAATGATGTATTTAACATTAAAAAATTTGTTTGACTGTATTTGTAAACTGCATGTTTGAATAATGTATTCCGAGGTTTTACAGGATCCCTATCTATGTTGATTTCGTTGGACTTAACTTTTCAATATTCTTAGAACAAAATAAATTGTTCACGTTTGACAAGCTTCATTGGAAAGCTAACACATGTGAAATTTTATAGTTTCAGTAACATCAGTAACCCTGACACCAAACCAGATAACTGTGGATGCTGGTAAACAGATAACTCTTACCTGTCAAACAGATTACTGTAACCCAGCAGCCAACATCACGTGGTATAAGGCATCAACTGACGTCACCAGTGAGGCTGCATCCTCCACGGTCACTGACAGTAATGGCCTTGTGAGAACTACATCAGTACTACAGTACACAGGTGTGGCAGAGGACAGTGGTCAACAGGTGTACTGTAGAGCCATGAACAAGAAAGGTCAAATTGTCGAATCAAGACGCCATACGCTGAATATCAGGTGTATGTTTCCATTGTTTGAACACAGTTGGAATTCGTTATCTAAAACACCAAAATTTCAAAAATTAGGATATGTCAACGTGATTTGCTAGAATCAATATTTTTTTAATTTATATTTCAAACGTTTTTATCTCGAATCCTCGATTATCTCAAATTTAAATCTAAAACGTAATTATATGGAGATAAATGTTGGATTTATATTCGAATACTTTTTAAAATAAAATATGAAATGTCATCTTAATTTGTAACAATGCAAAACTGTTTAATTTGTAATAAAGAAAACCCATGACAAAATTCAAAGTCCATTAAGCAAAGCTTAATTTCTCTTTCTTAATTTCAGTCATTTCAGAGGTAGTCATCCTTCCATCTCGTGTTTTAAACTTAGTTGTTGGACAACGTTATATAATTATAAACTGCTTTGTTGAATATGCATATCCGGAAGAAAATATAGAGTACAGATGGATAAGATCGGATGGTTTTAATTCTTCCATTGTTGCGTCATCTCAAACATATGTCATAAAGACTGTCAGTTTTGAAGATAGTGGTAGATATATCTGTACAGCGAGTAATTCTGCCGGAAACTCAAGTGGCATTATTGACGTCAGTGTGCAATGTACGTTTTACTTCTCTATTATTTAAATTATAGCTGAACACGACTCGTAAATGGACATAAGCCATATCAGATTTTCTGCCATCGATATATACTTTATTTTCACGGGTACCGGCGTGGATGGCACGTGGTCGTGCCGTTTTTTATATTAACATTGTTTACATTTTATTGCAGTTGTGCATGTAATTGTGTTTGTCTGTATACTGCACTGACTTGTACACTATTTGAAGTTTTCTTTTTGTCTCTTTCTCTCTTCCCGTGGAAGAAGTACACAGCTATTTCTGATGTGTGCAGCTAAGTATTTTTACACAGCATACGCCTGTCAACACAGGTGAAAACAGTGTCTTCTTAAACGGTTTATATAGGGATCCATCGGTATAACGACTGAATTAAAGAGTATGGCGGACAAAATCCTTTTACGAATCGTGTTCAGATTAAACAGTGTAAAACATATTTTAAATTTTTTTATTGTAAAATCACATTTTTGTTTTATGTTGTATTTTTACAATTTTTCTTTTTAGTTACTCCCCTAGCACCTAGAATTGAATATGTTGTATGTAAATCTACATTTGCTACCATTACTTGGACGACTCCTTACACAGCCTATAACGATGTCAAATTACAAGAAACACTTCAGTACAGTGAACAAAGCAAAATATATGTAAATGTAACAAATGAACAACTGAATAGCACCAAGACCAACAGGTATAATCAGAAAGTGGCCATGCTGAAGCCTGGAACAGAATATACCTTTCGAGTATTGACTTCAAACCGATACGGGTTCACTTTTTCTAATACTATGTCATGTGTCACAGACTCAGAAAGACTTGAAGGTATTTTTACTGAATTTTCTCATAGCTATACATAATTTTAGCATTTAATAATGATAACAATTTTTGTATTATAGAAAATTATCAAGGTTGTGACAAAGGGCAGATAATCGGTGGAACACTCGGTGGATTTGCTTTTTTCTTTATTTTGGCAATGTGTTTCTTTATTTTGTACAAACACAGACAAGGAAAAGGTACTTTTTGTTTACTATTTAAATATATACATGAGATAACCACAATTTTCTGTAAATACACTTTCATAAGACTGAACATTACTAGTATCAGAATTAAAGATAATTAAAATGCACAACTATTGCATATTTAATGTGTTTCTTACAGCATAAAATAGGCTTGTTGTAATTTCAATTTAACTATTTGAATTTCAAAATTAATAATCCTATTTGATTAAAAAAAATACAATAAATTAATAATCACATAGATTATTAAAATACAAGGCAATTGATAAAATCTTCTCTTGTTCATGAATTTATTTACTCTGATTTGACAACGTAATCTTCTTTATTCAAATTTATTTTGAGAGAGAGAAAGAAAGAGAGGGAAGAGAGTCATAATATGTTATACGGTATATGCACCTAAACATCTTAATTAACTCATTTATTTATAAATTTTTTTCAATATTTTATCTTTATATCAAGAGTACAATGCACAATTATTTATTGTTTGCATTATCAATTTTGATTTGTTCTAGCAGAAATCAAAATGCGAGTTATGTGGATCAGTTTTCTAACCATGATGTTCATCAATATGAGGGAATTTCTACTGATTCAAATAAAGGTATGTGTAGACTTTTCAGCCAAAGAGCTAAAAACTTTAGCTTGACTTTTTATCTATTTTTTCTAATAACTTTTCGTATTTTTATAAATGGACTTCTTTTTTTACATAAGTATATGTAAATGAGTACATAAAGATCTATACACTGAAATAAATGTGTAATTTGTACTCTCCCAACTTTCAAACAACCCACTACTTTTTAAGTTTGTCTTTTTAAAGCAAGTGTCAATAAGATTTATCATGAAAAATTAAATTCAAACATTTCAAATGATATAAAGAAAATAACAAAACATTAAAATTTCTTTTTAGGAACGCTGAACACTAATTTTTACGAAAAAATTGAAGGTAATTCTGAATCAAGCAACGTCAATGGCATTGCTTCGCAAATATAGTTTTTATTTTCAAACTATTTTCTCTTGACGGGAACTAATTTTTTTTCTATTTACAGCATCTAATCCGTTAGATAAGAGGTAGGTTCTATTTTAAGAAAGCAAAATGTAAGTATAAAATGCTAAATACTTATGTTAGGCATAGAAACACTTTATTTTTAAGATTAGCCTAACAAGGTTATTCCTATACCTCTCTTACTTTCAATTTCCCTTGAATCACATGTACATCTATAGAAACAACACAAGGAAGTATAATTTGCACACATTATAAATTTATTTGGAACTTGTTATGTTTACATCAATGCAAATTTATATAAACACAACTAAACATGTCTTTAAAAGTTTCACAGCATCGAAGCTATAAAAATAATTTTAAATCCAAAAAAAGCTATAATCGCATAATCTCATGCTAAAGGCTCAGGAGATTTATAGATTTTTAAAATTTGTACTTACTTATATTCTTTGAATTGAATATTACTAGTAGTTAAGACAGCTAGTTATTATTTGTCAATTTTCCAAATCTAATATGCGAGGTTTTTTAAAATTGTAATTTAAGATTTCTTAAGTAAATCCTTATGTGGTGCAGTAAGCTTTAGAGCTAGATATGGAGTGCTTTATATAGACTCTACTTTAATTCTTAAACATAGAGGGACACCAAAGAGTCTGAAATTATTTCTGACATGGGTAGGGAAATGACTTTTTCTAAAGAAGTTCTAGATAATCTTCAACTTGCTGTTTCAGAGATGAATACATGGAATTACCTGACTCCTCTTATAAAGTCGTAGACAAGTCGACAGAGGGTAAACTTTAACTTTTATATATCAATTTATTCACTTGCAATCAACTTTTTATGTACAAGTACCCATGTTTCCCCTGTAATCTGTAAGTGTTATAGAAAATCATAGCTATCTAATTACACTCCATTCTTGCAGACTTTGTGTTTGATTAAAAGAGGCGGATATTTACACCCTAGTTTTCTTTTACTTTTCATTATTATGTTATTATTCCTAACTGTTGACATATTCTTTATTTCAGTCAACTCTGGATTGTACTCAAATACAAAATAGCATGTGAGAATCAATTTCCATGTTCGGTATAATGATCTTTCTGAAGATACACCTATTGTTGAGTCAAATGTTTTTCTGCTTTATTTAATAGTTAATGTGTAGGCCAGGGAGTGCTTGCTTCTCCTAGACAGTTGATATAACCTGTATTTTTTCTCTAAAAGATTGTCTTTTCCTCTGTTTACGATGCGAATAGTATACATGATTTTGAAATTGATAATTTATGATATTTTATAATATCATTAACTTAAAAAGCTAAGTTTAATTAAAACACATTTAGTTATGGAAATGTGTAAGATTATTCTGCAGCCAACTGAAGACTAATAAAATGACTTCTTTTTTCTTCTCTAGCTCAGCAGTAAAAAAAATAATCTATGCATTCTTTTTAAAACATCTTGGTTTTTCAACCATATAGTCTTATATGTGCCAAAGGAATTTCAAAAAAATATATGTTGTTTATTATCAAAATAAAAGGATACTATGCTGAAAAACGAGTTATTCAAATCCGAAACATCAGTCTTGTGTTGGAAAAACAAAATAAAAGTAGAAAAGGCAGTCAAAATGAAATGAATTTTATTGTCAATTTTCTTGGAAATGACATAAGAGATGCAATTATGACACGTTCCATGCTATTGAAAAGATTAGTGATAGCGAATGACGAGACATAAGAGTACATGTTACCCAACAACACCATCAATACTTATTTTTGGACATTTCCTTACCAGTGGAAATACCTGAAAAGAAATATTCTATTTTGAAATTGCGTCATAAAGATAACACATCATAAATAAAGTAACATCACACGAGCCCAATCAAGCGAGTTGATATAAAAGATTCCACAGAGTCTGGCACATTTGTTTCATATTAGGATATTTTACTAGAAAAGACGTTATTGGTAATCTAACAATCATGCTTTATGAAAAACATGATGACTTTTACTTTTCAATCCTCTACATACTTGATTGTGCAGCAATATACCCTTGTTACCAGCATACGGAGTCTATGTCTCTCAGTTGATTCGCTACGCAAGAGCATGCTCTGTGTATGAATTATTTCTAGGACGAGGTAAATTGTTGACAAAGAAGTTTATGTAACAAGAATATCAGAGGTCTCGTTTAAGGACATTTCGTAGGTTCTATGATCAATATAATAAACTTGTCAGCAAATACAATTTTTCATTAAGTCAAATGCTGACAAGGTTTTCCATATGAATTGTTTTGCAATTATTTACACACTGAATTGTCGACGGATTTTTCCGTTATAACCCGGTCATGACAAGGAGTGAACGGCGGGTTTGACGGGTCGGTAGGGTATGCTCACTCTCCGATGACACCAGTTTCCGTCTTTTATGTTTTGAAGGTGTTTTCTCTGCTCCAATTTTTTTATTTTTTTATGGACTTTTAGTTAACAAACAGTTAGATGTTTGTTATCTCCATATATTTTATCCTAAGAAAAATGTGTTCCATTTCTGAAAGATTTTCAGAAAAGGATGTCTAGAGGAGAGTAAAAATTGCAGTTTACTTAGGTAGTACTTTATCATTTCTTGTGTGATAATTTACGGTGAAAATTGGAGCTCATAAGCGACAATTTTTCCACAATTGTCCGATACGCTGGTAGAAGAAAATGTGAAATATATTTTATAATGGCAAATCTTTTTATGTTTTTAATAAATTTAATGCGCACAGCAGATCTTACTACAAACAATTGACATCGTTAAATAAAAAAGCAACATTGACGCCAAAATTGTACATCGAACACGTGGTTCAGGTCAATCAATGATTGAGTTTAATGCAAAATGCAAATAAAACTATTCTTAAGAAGAAAAAAAATTCAAAAATAAAAATATGAAAGATGTCACGGGCGTTTGCAATTTTTAGTTAAATACAAAATATGTTTAATGTAATAATATACATGTAGTATGTAACAAGTTCAGAACACCAGGGTAATGAAAACGAGCAACATCTATTTGGTATTTACATGGATAACAGAGGTTTTTTATAGTATACAACAAAAGAATGCAGATGTAAATATCCTTGGAGTATATAGCTGTGAGAAACCTAGAATTCCACGTTTATTAAACAAAAAATTGTTGGTTATCGTGAACATGGACAGAAAAAAATAATAATAAACATTAAATTTCTTTTCATTTACGAAATTCGTGGAAATATCAATTTCTGTAGTATCCGTATATTGAAACCCACAATGCAATTCTTATTCTCATTCAGCTGTTTGATCAGATAAATCTAACAATATCTCGCTGTAGTCTCACTAAATCTCGTCAGAGTAACTGTCATGGCTATTTTGAACTTCTCTGGTATTATAATGTGCAGAACATGAAAAAATAAAGGGTTTTGAACGCATGAGTAAAAGTGTAATTAAAAAAAATTAAAGGTTAATGCAAGCGCGATAAACACTACATTCCAATCTCTCTCTATATATTCTTTTAATTGAAGGTAACAATAAGCGTTTTCCTCTTTTCGTAAAGAAGTTTTTAAAAAAAAAATCCATAAAAGTATAAAACAAGTTGCTGTCCTTTAAAAAAAGGACTGCAATACGTGGACCATATGCATGTTTTTTCTAACTAAAATTCAATTAAGAAAATTTCTACATGTAGGCTTGTTCACATTTTCTACAATGTCTGACTTAACCACTCAAAGCAAAATTGTTAAATATAGTTTTGTCAGTCTCTCTCTCTCTAAATATTTATTTTGTGTTGTACACAGATTTTTTTTTGTCGGAGCCCCCCCCCCCCAACAAACACACACATTAAAAGCCGAAGGTAACAAATATTAAATTATTTTGCGAGCCTTTTAAAGCCTCTTGTTCTATCTTTTAAAAGCTAGAACTAGTCGTTGAATGACGTTTTTCATTCAAGTTAAGTTACATGTATCTTCAAGTTCTTCCTACTTTTTAAAATGCTTGTACCATAGAATCAATGTTTAGTTTAGTTCGGATCCGCCAATGAATAAAAATTTAATTGTTTGCGATATGCGGACTTAACTTCGAAGACTGCATTAATTGTGTCAATGAGGGTCTCCAGCATCCTCATAATATCACCTCTGGAATACTTGTGAGTAGAATCAGATTGATTTTTTAACAAAATAGGTTTTTAGATGACCAATCATAAGATTTAAATTTTTTTGAGTTTCATTTCTATTGAAATTGTATATGCTATGTGGCAACGCACTTTCAAAAAGATTTTCAAAGTGCGTTAAAATTGGGACAAAATCAACGCACTTTAATTTTTTTTTTCAAAGTGCGTTAAGGGTGTATATCAACATTTTTACCATGTGGACATTTAACGCACTTTGAAAAAAATTATGTATAAAACAAAAATTCTAGACTTAGATTTCAGTAATTGAGAGAATCAATTTGTAATAATTATATGTTTTAAAAAAATGTTTTAATTTACATGTGTTGATTAATCTTCATCGAGAACAAGGAGAAGATGAGTATATTAGAAGGTCTCTCAGACCAACTCTTTTTTACCTAGGTAGCAAAATGAAAATGGACACCCCTCAAGGTAAGCCCCAATTTTTAATACCTATATTATGTATATCTTTGCAAACCTGTGTGACTAACACCCCCCCCCGGTACCGATGCCTATGCAACACCTAAATATATGTATTTGCATAACTGCATGGTGTGACGTTGAAAACTTTCAATGAATATTAGTTTACATTAAATGCATGCAGACTGGAAAACTTAAGTACAGTAAAACATTTAAGAGGGAAATAATTTTCAAAGTATGGAAAAATCAAAATCGCTCACTTTCAAATCCTGAAGTGACCTTATCACCGAAAAGTTATCCAACAGTTTCAATTATTTATCATACCTAAGATTTTCAAGAATATTGATCAAGTCATGCACATTTTTTTTCCAAAGGTCGTTACTATGGTCGATATCAACGCACTTTGAAAAGAATTTTTTTTTAAAGTGCGTTGATTTGGTATCAAATTTAACGCACTTTGATTTTTTTTCAAAGTGCGTTGTAACAATGCTATCAAAAAGGTAATTTTTTATTAATTGGGAGGAATATTCTTATAATGTAAAGATACACTGAAAAGCATACGTTTTGATGTTATTACTTTTGGAATGTTCATTTTTTATTTTCCATAAATTGTTTGGAGATTTTGATAATTCACAGCCTATTTCCATTTTGTCTGAAGTTTCTCCTTCACCAAAGTTAATAATTTTAAACAAAGACATGTACTTAGTAAAGGAGATGCTGGGGCGCTAATGGGTCTTTTTAGGATTTTTTTTTTATAAAGTTTCGAATCCAGTATTTGTAGTGTAGATTTGATTTACTTTAGTTGACTTCATTGTTAAAAGTATTAAACTCTGAACTGTGATTTTGAATAATGTCAATCGTAGAAAGTGAACTGTGTGTGTTTGTTGGATATTGTTATGTGCAATGTCTGCAGGATTTATAAGACATTGTTATATTTTCCGGTGAGGTGAGATTGGACCCTTATGGGAATACATATGTAGTAGAATAAATTAAGGGGGAGTTTTCTAAAAATACACATTTAAATGTGCATCTTCATATTACAAATATAATAAATATCACAATGTATGAAAAGAATTAAATATTATCGAAAGGTATTACACCCAATATACACCAAATATTATTAAATATATCTCAGGAAATTCTTTTTCCTAAATTTTGTTCAATATTATTTCGATTTTTTAAAACTCTTGTATATATATTTCCCTTCCTTATTTAGCCACAAATAGAAATCGTCGTTGAATTAAACACTATGTGTTTGACAACTGGGTTGCTTGTCGGTGCTTTTATATCCCTAATAGGTAAGATTTGTGAAAGAATTAACGTTATATGAACATAATGTTCTGCAAAACAATAAATGCCACAATTCTACCTTTATGTTTAATCTATAGATTCAAATCTCTTGAATGTTGTTGAAAGAGGATGTGAAATATATATATCATGGAGTTCGCAGAGGTATGAAGAAGTCGATATATATATAAGAAAGGAAAACGACAGTGATTTCCAGTTCAATCTTCAAACAAGTGATGTTAACTTTATTTATCGACCTAGTGATCCATCTGTGAAATACCTTTTAATCTGGTATCCGATAACAAGAGAAAATAAGACCAGACATCGAGTTGAAAATTTAAAGCTAAATAAAACAGCTATGCTTGAAGGTTTGTGGTTTGTTTGTTTGTTGTTTTTTTTAAATTGGGTTGGGGGGGGGGGGGTTGAGAGAGAGATTCGAGGGACAACGTTTAATTTTTCTGCCTTAAATCAAGTAGTTTTTTAAAGAAACAAAATCATTTTTATTCAAAATTATACGTTTTTCGTACGCCACGAAATATTAAAATTTCTATTTCTCTAAAGAAATTTAACAATATCTTTCAATTGTTGAATTTCATAGAAAAATTAAAATTCCTTAAAAATGTAGTTGAGAAGTAATATCAAAGAAGATCTAAAATTGATATCTTACATTTTGTCTTAGACTGTCTGTCCCCTGGTAGCACATATTCACCGGACCCTACTACACCTTGTATCTCTGGTGAGTCTCTTGAATTTTAAACCAAAAATTCTTTGACAGGCCCAATTTTGCAAGATTTGGACCTACGATGCATACCATTTGATTTGTGAATATGCTAATGTAAATCGGCGATAAAGATAGTTAAATATAATTTTGTATTAATGTGGCCACTGTAAAAAAAATTAATGTACTAATATATCAGCTTTATTTTTATTTAGATTTTTGTCGTATTTATTTCTGGACATCCATCGTAGTGATTCCTCTGCTGATAATTGTTACTACATCAATATTTGTATACTTATACTTATTCAAAGACAATGGTAAGTTTAACATGTGTTCACATTGCTATGAGAGAGTCAATGTACAGTAAGTGAATATTAAAAAGAATAAACTTTACATGAATGTCTCTTTTTTAATCTTCAGGATTAAAAAGAACTCATAATGCACCTAACGCAAGGTAAATCTTTCTTCTTTTTTCTCTTTTTATTTGGAATGTGTCATTCAGCTCTTCCGTGAGAATATTTGACTCAATTATGGAACGGTTTGTTCTTTTCATTTAATCAAATACATTTTTTTTTATTTTGCAGGTCAAACCTAAATGTGAATTCTATGTGTTATAACAACAATGGTGTGAACGAATATGACCAAGTGCGTTATTCCTTAATGCAAGACACTAGACTTTAATTATCATTTTGATAGTCATTTCAGAACTCGAGCTTTAGGTGTTGCTTTGGTCCACTTTGTCAAACGATAGGATCGAGACAAGTGCAATTTTATTCTCCCAAGTCATTTTGAAATATTAGGTTAACTCAGGAAATTAAAATCATAATTAGAGGAAATGATTATTAATGGTTATTAAAGTATTTGAGGAAGGTTTTTATCTAATTTAAAAAACATCCTGTTCTTTTATGAACTGTCGTAAAAGAAAGAAATACAAAGATAGAGGACGGATAATCGGGGATGGGATACGTTTATCACTAGTCGGGTACTCTTTAAGTTAAGTTTAGTTACTTAAACAATAAATATTATTAACATGAACGTCTGAAAATGATGTGGAATCAGGTCCCATGGAGGAGTAACCATAACCATTCCCTCTCGAATATTCACACCCGTTGTTTCCTCTGTATTATGACCTGGTAAATGGGAAAATCACAATTCATGGTGAAAATAATTTTCTAAACATTTTCTTAAAAATGTAATACAACATTCGATCTTACAACGTATTGTATATGTACTTGCAAGCGAGGTCATTGTTTAACTATAGAGTAAAATATTGAACATCTGTGTAAGACTCTTATCTGTGTGCTACATCATATTCTTGAAGTTATGAAAATCGGATGTGGATCCTCAAAATCTCTAAAAGAAGATATTTCAAAGATCATCACATGACATCAACATTTACGATTCATCTACACTTTATACAACAATTCCTCATGGAAAATTAAATTATAGACTCTTCGATATCACATACAATATTAAGAACGAAACACGGAAATGTTTACGTCTTTTGATTGGTCATCAGCAAAATGACTTCATAAGACACCACTCTTATAGTTCACTGAGATAATTCAATTTCAATATTCTATCGAAGCTTAACTTAAAATCGTTCATTTAACACTTAAAGACTATATCTTATCTGAATTATGGTAAATAAAGTGATTGTAAAAAAAAGTCTGTTTTTACTGTTGTTCCTTTTAAGTCTGCTAGTGTTACACTGCTTTGCGACTCTACTTTTATGTTGATGAAAAGGTAAGGAATATACCTAATATCCCTACATTTATTTTCTTTAAAGTGCTCTTTTTAGTTTTTTATCCTTGCATGTATATAATGTTGCCGAGGTCTACAAACTGTATATTGTAAAATTTATTACTAGAAACAAAGCATAATGTTGATTTAATGAAAAATTAAATCTGAACCGAGTTGATCGTTTTTGGATTTAATTAAAACTTAAAGTTCCTTTCAAGCTTTGGCAAAGTTCAATCAACAGGAAATAATTCTTGTCGTACTCACATACATGTACATGTACTTTGTTCTACTTACTGCACCATATTTATGCTGTGAAGCATAAGTGGGTGATAATTTGGAGACTGCACGATGCGGATGTTAGCAATAAACAGCAAATTGTGTGCAATATATTTCTTCTTTTTTATTATGCATTTTGGACTTATACGGAAGAATAATAAAATATTTGAAATATAACTTAATTGATAATATTAATATATATACATTTCTTTCACAAAGGTTACTCTTATTAATTCATCAAGAACAGTTAACACGCTCACTTCCATTTGAAACAACATACAATTTGTAATGACAGATAGCAAAACACTAAGCATGCTCTTCTTTGTCTACCGATTCCCAAATAATGCAGTCTCTCCAGTTTACCATTCTTAAAATGGAAAATATTGCTGGAATATGAAGACAACGAACAGAAATCGAGCTCAAGAATTCATTAAAGCAACACAGAATCGGAGCAGAGGTAACACGGTCCTCTAAAACATCAGAAGTGGAATCAGCGCTAAAGATAAGTAACCATGCTCTGTCGGCCGGTACTTAAACTTATTATCCTTATATGGTATTAAGCTCGACTCATTTAAAAAAAACATTTCATACGAAGAACGTGCCTTTGCTTATCAAATCATTATCGAGATATTAATTCAATATGCAGGTGTAATAAGACTTCAAAATATAAAGAAACTTTGACGATAAAAAGTTGAAATCATCAGGTCTCTAATAAATCTCTTGTTGTAATTTTGATAATGATCTATTTCTTTAATAGAATGTCCAATTATAAAACGGATTATCAATAAACAAGAATACCAACGATCATTTAAGGTCACCAAGAGGAAGGTATGGTTTCCATAATAATTTTGCCCTGTGATTTTCTAAAAAATGAAACTGGTGTAAAAGTTGAAAAATCATGCTTTTTAAATAATTGAAATTCAATGCAGAAAAATCATACAAGTCATTTTTCTCATATGTGTTTTTAAATTAAATGCTAATTATGACGTCATAAACATGTGCATTTTCCCGCATTTTCTTAAAAGTTGCAGAAGACACCAATTTTCAATGGAATTTTCTTTCAGATAACATGGTCCACAGGCATCGCCCACAAAGATCTTGAGATATGTGATTTATTATTGAATTTTGTACACAATATCAATAAATGAACGTTGGCGACGGCTGTGGACACTGTTTTCTAAAGGAAAATCACCTTTGAAATGTGCCATTTTGAGGCTTTTTTCTGTTGAAAATAAATGCTTCACATTAATGACGTCATATTTGCAGAATGGTAAACCTTCATGCCATATTCTTACCTTATTTATCAGAGTCATTTATTTAACTAATATTTAAGCCAGTTTCAAAACTTTTTGATGTCATTACATTTTAGGGCACAATAAAGCCAAAACCATACCTTCTTCTTTGAAAGTTCGATGGTAGATACAATTACCTTGCCAGCAAATACAGTCCTTCATTATGTCATTTGCTGACTGATATTGTTTTTTTTAAATCTACACACTGAATTATCTGCAGATTATTTTGTCTTTTCTCACTTATGACATAGAACATACGACGCATATAGCCAATCGGCAAAGGATGCATACTTTTCAATGACACCTGATCCCACTTCTGATGTTTTAGAGGTCCACGATGCACTACTCCTGATTTGTATTGTTTGAATGAACATTTGAGCTTAAAGACTGTTCGTTGTTTCTATATTTTAAGTATCAGACTCTGTTGTATCAAAGCGATCTATCAATACAATACAATACAATAATTTCTATAGCGCATTATAATAATGACACTCTAGTGCGCTTCACATTAAAATATATATATATAAACATACAAAATGGCGAACAAATTACTTTTAAAAAAAATACATAATACATATTTGTACATAAAAATAGGATATCTAAAAGACTTTATGTGTACTAAAAGACCATAAAATATTACGTTGCGTGGGAGTCACTTTAATAAATTTACAACTAATGAAACATTAAAAGCGAAAAAAAAAATATTAAAGGAACCTGTACTTGATCAGTAGAGCACAAAATAAAAAACCCTAGACTTTAAGATCAGTTCAGTGTCTTTTTTCATTAGGTATATCACTATAAAAACAATATTTACATTCCCTCGTAAGCTCGTTCAAAGAGGTGAGTTTTAAGACCTTTTTTAAAAGCGGAAACAGATTTGGAATTTTTAAGACACAGAGGAAGAGAGTTCCATAGTGAGGCGGCAACGTAGTCAAATCGACGACTGCCGTACGTAACAGTTCTAACTTTAGGAACATCCAAAAGAAAAGAGCACTGTGAACGTAAGGACCCGGAAGGAGAGTATATTTTGAGAAGCTCGTACAAGTAATTTGGAGCACGATTGTTCAATGCATTGTATACAAACAGAAGTATTTTATTCAAGGTTTGAACAAAAATGAATGTCATTAATTGATAAAACGTCGTCGATATATATTATAAATGTTGTATTGAACAAGATTCAATTCATCATTAGGTAAAATGCTGACTGACTTTATCATACTTATTGTTAGGACTTATTTACACACTGAATTGTCGATGGATTTCCCGATCATGCCAAGGAGCACAATGCGGGTGTGACCGGTCGGCAGGGGAAACTTACTCCTCCTTGGCCTGGTCCAACTTCTGATGTTTGGAGGTCCGTGTTTGCTCTTCTCTACATGTGTGTTGTTTAAAGAACATTTGACCTTAAATATTGTTTGTTATCTCCATATATTTCAAGTAAAAAATTTTGAAATCTCCTTTTAATGCATACAAATATAGGTTTGCTTACAACAATTTCATTTATTGTCCTTGGGAATATAGACAGATTGTTGGAAGAATCAATCCCATAAAACTAGTATTGATATTGCCAATGGGTAACTCATGCACCTTTTTAATATCATCTTCAGAGTCCAATTGTGTATAATCAGAAGGATTTTTAGCAGAATAAATCAGCAAATTATTAAGAAAAAGTTATTTTTATTTGCTAGTTCAATTTTTAATTGAAAATCCTTTTAAATGGTGTCAAAAAGTCTGGAATTAAGTTTCATATGCGATTAAAATCTCTCCTCGAACATCTTGTTGTGCTTTCTTATTAACGGTACATTTATTGTGAGATGGAAAGAAAGCGGTCTGGTGGAACATTTACTAGAACCCGTTGTGAGAAGAACTATATATAAAATGTAATTTTACCAATTTAACAGAATGAAATCAGTTCCTCTAAAATAAATCTTAATAATATGCCTAGAAATGTACCATACATATTATAATCCTTTTCTGAAGAATATTAATGCCTTGATTAGGCATATC